TTTGCTCTTTCATGAGTACACACACTCATGATTGATCACACTCACGAGTACAAACATAGTCACGTCTGTAATTATTCGTCCTTGTCCTCGTAACGATGATTGCAATCGTCACAGTTATCGTTATTATCGTAATCGTTGTCGTTATAGTTCACATCGGCATCATAATCTTCTTAATTATAATCGCCATCGTCAAGTTGTCGTTATAGTTCACATCGTCATCGTAATCATCTTAATTATTATCGTAATCGTCACAGTTATCGTTATAATCGTCATCATAATCGTTGTCGTTATAGTTCACATCGTCATCGTAATCATCTTAATTATTATCGTAATCGTCACAGTTATCGTTATTATCGTAATCGTTGTCGTTATAGTTCACATCGGCATCATAATCTTCTTAATTATAATCGCAATCGTCACAGTTATCGTTATAATCGTCATCATAATCGTTGTCGTTATAGTTCACATCGTCATCGTAATGATCTTAATTATTATTGTAATCGTCACAGTTCTCGTTATAATCGTAATCGTCAAGTTGTCGTTATAGTTCACATCGTCATCATAATCATCTTAATTATTATCGTAATCGTCACAGTTCTCGTTATAATCGTAATCGTCAAGTTGTCGTTATAGTTCACATCGTCATCGTAATGATCTTAATTATTATTGTAATCGTCATCGTGATCGCCATAATTATTATCATGATCGTCGTCATGGTTACATCGCTGTCGTTTTGTCGTGCAGAGGTTTCCGCTGGAAGGGGAGGATTCGATCCTTTGCTCGACGCTGAAGCAATTTGCAAGCACTATTGACGAGGTAAGCTATATACTATAGCCTCCCTGAATAGCTTAATTTAATTCTTCCTCTTCTTCCCTTTTTTTCTGTTTGTGATTAATTCTATGCCTGATTGCGTGAAGAAACAATTTGCAAGCACCATTGATGAGGTAACCTATTATATATTATATAGCCTCCCTGAATAGCCGATGTTTAATTCTTCTTTCTTTCTCTTCTTCCTCTTTTTTCCCGTTTGAGATTAAATATAGTATAATTGTCGCCCGATCGTGTGAAAAAACAATGACTCGCGGTTAAATTCCTGAACAGCCATGGCTTAAGTTTCCAGTTTTTTTTCCACCGTTTGTGATTAATTATGCGCTCGATTGCACGAAGCAACAATGATTCACGTTAAAAAAAATGCCACGTGGGAACTCTCGAAAATGATCTTGGAACACTGGAAAATTCCATATTTGACAGGTAAAATGAAAAAAAACTGCAAATATTACCCGTGATGGCTTTCGATGTCAGCTCCCGTCATCTTCAAAATCCGAGCAGCATGTTTCACTTCCCATTAGCACGCTCGCATGTTTTTCCCTTCATTATTTGTCAGAAGCAACAAAAAAACGATCGTTCGAATCCGCTCGAAAACTCGAATTTCGACACGTCACGGGCGGATGCGCGCGCCGATTTAATAAAAAACAAACGCGCGTTGTCCCTCCCCCGCGCGAAACTCTCTCTTAATAGTTATTGCTTGGCATCACCGCCCACTCGTTTCTCTCACGGACCTTCGACAATAAACCTGTAATGACAGAGCAGGAAATGAGCGAGGGAGTACGAATATGCGATAGATGGGTGGGTAGGGATTGGAGGAATATGAGCCTCCGTAACCTAGAATCGCGAACGATCGGCTGTCACCGTCGTTGGCGGCGGCGACGGAGGCAGTGCATCGTTACTTTCGATGGAATTATAATAGATATGAGGTTTCCACGGTGTTTACACGAGCGAGCGCAGAGGGATGGATGAGTCATCCGTAGCTGGGGAGGGGTGGTGGGGGAGTAGGTGGACGTCACGTGGGGAGGTGTTGTTGTTGCTGTTGTTGTTGTTGTTGTTGTTGTTGTTGTAGGTGGCGGTGGTGTTGTTATTGTCACTGTTG